TCTCCTGTCGTATCATCCTGGACCTCTCCTCTGGACCTTGGCTCCCTCAGCTCCACCAACCTCTTCCACAGGTCGATGCACAGTCTCCTCATTGATACCACTCTCTGCTACTCCTCAGTCAACCGGATCACCACCTTGACCAGCTCAGGAGTGTCGCCTTCCCTTGCAGCCCAACCTCATCACTTCATGGACAAAAACCCCTTCACGAATGCTGGTCATCACCCGGTGATATTCATTCATTCTTGTTTATTGTATATAGTATTGTACCCCTGGTTAAGCACTGTAAATAAACCCACCTACTGCACCGAAGCCAGCCGCCTGGGTCTGTTCTTTACTGCTCGCTCATTATTGTGTTGAGCGATCCTAACAAAAACACAGGACTGAGAAGGGAGACAGCCCTTTGTTTCCCTTGTGAAATTAATAGTTACTGTTGTAACTTCAGCATTTTAATCTAAATCACCTCCTGACTGGTTAGAGTCATGTGGCTCAGTTTCTTCAGTCTGTCCCTGGAGCAGGAGACAGACAGCAGCTCTACCACCTCTATCAGTTTGTCTCTCAGTAGCTGGGGCTGGATGGTGTTGAAGCTGCTGGAGAAGTCAAAAAACATGATTCTCACAGCACCATTCCCCCTGTCCAGGTGAGAGCAAGAGCAGTAATTTAGATAGAGGAGGGCGTCCTCCACTCCCACCTTCTCCTGGTATGCACACTGCAGAGGACCAAGCGCCTGGCAGACCTGGGGTCTGAGGTGGTGTGGTGTTGCTGGGGTAGTCTCCTCATCGAACCCCTTAAAAAACTTGTTTAACTCATTAGCTCTCCCCACATCTATAAAGCCCTGCTTAATATGTTGCCTAAATATATTCCATACCTCCTAAGTTATAAATCATCAATGTAGCAGACCCGTTCACAAGATTGTCTCGTTCTGCAGACCTTTCTTGTCAACACAGTAGTAGGAAAGATGTCCTTCTGTTACTATATCCCACAAAAATGTAAGTTTGCAAAAGAAGAAAAATCTGGGTACTCTTACTCCTTTATCTCAGTTTAAACTGCTTTAATATAGTAGCTTACTGTTTAAATGTGTGTTTAATGTTATGCCCTGAACACTGTTTTTAATATTTTATTTATGTTGACTTTGTGTGTACATTTTATTGTTTTAATGTGTGATTTGTGATTCTGGATTTTTTTTTTCTGATTTCATTTGATTCACGTGTTATTACTGTTTTGATGGTGTAAACTGTATGTCAGGGTACTACTGAAAATGATAGTTTACTCTCAGCTGGTTTTCCCTGAAAAAATAAAAGCTGCCGATGATGATCTTTCTCTAAACCTAACAAAATAGTTTTGTCTATGAAACTCGGATGCTCTGCATTACTGTAACCGTGGTATCAAAGGTCTGGTGCATGATAATGACCTCCTGAGGGAGTCCAGAAATAGTAAAAACTCATCTTCATCAATAGTCCTTGGGCAACAGCACAAGTGGCAAAATAACTGATAACAGTCAGCTGTAATAAATTGGTCTTGTACTTGTTTAGCGCTTTTCTATGCATTGCAGCACATTCAAAGCGCTTTTATACTATTTGGCCATTCACACTCACACAACGATGTCATCACCGGGAGCAACTGCGGGTTCAGTGTCTTGCTCAAGAACACTTAGACACGTGGGCTGGACAACCTGGGAATCGAACCACTAATCTTTCGGTTAGGAAACAAAGCACTACTCTACCTCCTGAGCCACAGCCGCCCCCAAAATTAAAACCCTTCCTCTCCAAATGGCACACACAATAAAACAATACAAAATCTGAAGAAAGAACAATTCAAACATTTTAATCAGTAAAAGCCACCTCACCTCCGCATCAAATCAGGTAGATTCATTAAACAGAAAACAAATGCATTCGGCCTGATTGTAGCATATCTAAAAGTGAGTTCCTTCAGCTGTCCTGACTTTTTTAAACAAAAGCAAACCATTTATTTAGCAAAAAAAAAAACTTGTGAAAATCCACTGTATTGCAATATACCAATTTCAGATGGAGCTTTTAGGGAGCAGTTGTTCATCCTCAATTATTTGCATGTATGAACAATTTAAAGTCACCAGTTAACTTGCAGCATTTTGGATTAACTGGAAGCTTTTTAGGGAATTATTGGGACATCCTGATAGTAAAGAGTTACAGTAGTCCAGCCTGGAAGTAACAAATGCATGGACCAGTTTTTCAGCATCACTTTGAGACAGGATGCTCCTCATTTTGGCGATATTGCGCAGGTGAAAGAAGGCAGTTCTAGAGACTTGGTTTATGTGTGATTTACAGGACATATCCTGGTCAAAAATGAGTCCAAGGTTCCTCACAGTAGTACTGTAGGCCAGAGCTGTGTCATCTAGAGTAACTATATGGTTAGACAGCATAGTTCTTCATAGTTTTTCTGTACAAAAAAAAAAAAAAAATTCCATTGAGCCATTGGCCGAAATTTGTCTGTCTTACTGTGAGCTGCTGCTATAATGCTGATCTGATGAGATGTTAATCCTTCTCACATTCAGCTCTGTAGCAAATCCTCTCGCCTTCTGGTAGAAGAAGAGGGAGAGCTCCCGGTCTTTGAGAAAGTTGTGGTAAATGGTGGCCAGGCGTGTGCACAGGTGCAACTGAGACCTCTTGTTGCCTAAGTCCATGGCTGCAGCCAGAGCCAAGTGGTAGTAGCCTGCAGCATCAAATGGGTCCTGTTGAGAAAACAGCAAGATGTACAGCTCCTTAAAACATGACACCTAGTCACATTATTGCCATTGTATTTAATACACATACAGGGGTCACACTCACATTTGTCCGATGTCACAGTCCCTGGCTTGGTTCTGTCTCTGCCTCATGCCGTCCCTTTTATTATCTAACACAGCCCTTGTCTTTGTCCTGTTTTCCTGTTCCTGCTACCTGTTCTGTTTATTTAAATAAACTGTGGCAATGCAGGAATTTCCTTAAAAAATGTTTCAGTGAGCCTGTGTTTATGTATAACCTCTCTATCTATTGTATCTAAAGTGAGGTAAGGTAACTTTATAAAAAAAGTGACCCATATACAGTAACCACTGAAATACACAAAACAGAAATCGCATAATACTATTTAGGAGGACAATAGTGGCAGGTACAAAAGAATTCTTACATCTGTTTGTCCTGCATCTATAGTAGGTAAAGCATATCTGTGACCAGAAGGCAGCAGTTTATACTCAGCAAAAGGGGATGACTGCAATCCACAATGACAGCCTTTGCTTTGTTTGAAGCGCTGACTCTATATAAAGAGGACAATGTGAAATGCAAGTTTCCCATCATCCCCAGGTACTTGTACTGCTGCACCACCTCCACAGTCTGGCCATGAATCCAGGCAAGGGGGCACGTAAAGGTTTTCTTTGGTAGTCAATAATCATTTCCTTTGTTTTTGACCCATTTACCTCCAAAAAAAACTGCGTTTACACCGTCACTAAAATCATTCACTATTGGGCCATGGTCAGGATCATCTTTGCTAAGTAAAGACACAAACTTAATTATTTGTCTACCAAACAGGATGTGCTTAAACTAATACTACACAGACAATTATAATTTGTCATGTTTTTATTGAACACACCTATTAAATATCCAAAGTGCTGATGGAAAAAGTAAGTGAATCCTTGGATTTAATAACCGGCTGAACCACCTTTGGCAGCATTAACCTCAAACAAGTGCTTCCTGTAGCTGTGGATCAGAGCTGCATAATGTTCAGAAGGGATTTTGGAGCATTTTTCCTCATAGAGATGCTGCAGCTCAGCCATAGTCCCAGGATATCTGCTATGAACGGTCTGAGTTCATTCCACAACATCTCTATTGGGTTGAGGTCTGCGCTCTGCCTGGGCCACTCCAAACTAATCAACCTTAGTTTCATCAGTCTGCTAAACATTTTCCCAGTAATGCTGTGAAGTGTCAAAGTGCTCTTTGGCAAACTATGGGCATGCTGAGTTTTTTTGGACAGCATCAACTCTCCATGAAACATGATGTTTTCATTTTTCATACTAACATGAAGACAACATTCCAACAGTAAAATATGGTGGAGGAAAATCATGATTTCAGGCTGCTTCACTGCCTCTGAGTCTGGACAGTCTGCCATCATGGAAAGGAAAAGAAAAACCCAGGTTTATCAAGGAATCCTACTGGATAATTTCTCTGCTGTTAACTTGAAATCACATGTATCCAACGTGTCTTTGCAGTTTGGAATGTGCATCAGTATGTGCACACTGAGAAAATAAGAGCTCAGAACCATCTGTGCCCCATGAGGGCTGAAGCTGTCATATTGGTCGACCCTCTTGTCAAGGCGTTTTTCCTCCCTGAGCTAATATAAATGAAGCAAGACATTTTGTCCACTCTATTGAGAGTTTTGCATTTAAGCCACATGAATTTTTTTTCTGCCACACAAAATGGGTTCTTGTTTTCTTTGCTTCTGGACCTTCAGTGTTTGACACATGTGGGAGTTCCTCATCAGGCACAGAGTCAGAGAAACTGTTGGGCTTTAGGCTATCTTAAGAAAGAACTTTTCAAGGTTGTCTCACCATAGCTTGGTGTGATGCTAAGGCTGATACTGTCGTTTCTTTAGCTGAATGGTAGTGGACGTTGTAGCAACACGTATTGTGAAATACAAGAGCATACTCTTTGGGGGAAAAAAGTACTGTATGCTGTTAATGCATGTTAACTTGTCAACACACAAATGCCCAGCTTTAGCATAGCCTCTGTTATTGCAACATTTTGTGTAAGCATTTTAAACTGCAAGGTTTTAGTTTACACACCCACACCTATATACAGTTTGTGTGTGTTTAACTGTCATGTAATCCCTTACCTTCAGATCATAGAATATGATGTCTCCCAGTGTCTGGTAGATCCTGACATAATACAGTGTTTCTTCATCAAACTCCAGAGGTGTTGGGCAGAGGGTCAGTGTTTTTAGGTAATAGTGTTCAGCCAGTTCATGCTGCCCCACACAGTGGTAGAGAAAGCCCAGGCGATGGTAGGCCACTCGCTCATTCAGATACTCACCTGTATGTAAGACCAAACACAAAGGTAGTAGCAGACATTTCTATAACACGACTACCAGAATATCTGTAAATTTCAACCTGGGTTATCAATACACATGTGTATCACTTTGGCTCTTACCAACAACTACTGCCCAGATCATCGCGACATTTCATTCTGATATTTACAGTGCTCAGGTGAAAATTTCTAATGGTTGTGGTCATCGCCTGCATTGAGCTACACTGGCCCCATCAAGCCAAATTCCACGGTTCTATACAAATGCAATCTTAATTGGTATAAAATGTATTCTTTATCCTGAAAAGAATTATCTGTAAAGAATAGCAAAATATCCCTTCACAGGTTTCATATGTGATAGCATCCATACCCAGGAGAGCAAAATCTGTCATCAAAAATATAGCCAGCCATACAAAATATAAAAAAAACATAAATAAATAGGAGAATGGAATCTCATTAATGAGAGGTGTACTGAGGTTTGTTGCAGTTGGTTAAATTTGGACCTTTCATTAGAGTTTAATCAGTCTAACATTTCAGTTTTTCAAATTAACTGACTTTGTTCTACTTGGATGTTGGCTTAAAACAAATAAAACTGTATTAAACGGACAGGCTTTGTAATTAACAATTTATTGATAGTGGCCAGTGGTGTATTCAGTTTGTTATATACTTTACAACAGACATATGATCAAAATCTAACTGCATTATGTACAGTATATTAAGCATTACATCAATGTCAAAGAAATACTCAGATATGTTGCGTCGTTCAAAACACAAAAACCAGCTTTATGAGCATACTATATTTTATATTATTAATTCTGAAAAGTAACCACTAACTACAGTTTTCAAATAAATGTAGTGCAGTAAAAAGTAGGAATGAAGTAGCGGCTAAAGGAAATACTTGAGTAAAGTACAAATACCTCAAAACTGTACTTAAATACAGTGCTACCTGAGTAAATGTATTTCGCTACATTTCACTACTTCATAGGTGGATGACAATAATTTGTCCATATCTTGTTATTAAATAAAATGCAATCCAACATTACAATCATAAAACAAGAGAAAATGTTAATATTTGTGTTGGGAGTCGTTTTTCATACCCAGAGTGATACTGATGTCCAGTGCAGTCTGAGCAAACTCAACAGCCTCCCCATACAGCTTGAGACTGATCATTACTTCAGTCAACTTATTACACAATCTCAGCCTGGTACGAACACTGCTGCTCTTCATTGCGATGGGTAGAGCACGGTCCTACATGATGGATTACATACAGGACATTTTGAAAAGTTTAAAGGGTAATTCTCTTTACTATAACTTAAGCATTATTTTTGTAGCTTTTAGCCAAATAAGGAGAAGTTCAAAGATCACTATAAAGCAATATAAAAGGAGGATGAAGAATTTGCTGAGCTTTACATCAAGGTTATTAGAGTATGAGAGCCTTGGGGTGATAACAACAGTAAATTCAAGGGAGGAACAGGAAATAATTTAAAATTATACCATATTGACCAGTCTTATAATTCAAACTTTACCCTATAAAAGGTGATAGCCTTGTCTCTGTCCTGGCAGCTGTCAAAGAAAATGTCTCCTGCAGCTTCCAGAAGCTTCAGGATGAACCTGGTGTCTCCTGTGCTTAAAGCAGCATCCTGGGCTACCTGACAATGACAGCAACAAAATACAGGCTTTCATTCTAAAATGTTTCATTGTGACTTTTTGTTTACTTGTTAAAGACTGCACAAAGCACAAGCCAACTGGGCAGCTGGTTAGTCCCAGGGCCAAAAGAGGGCCCCAAACACAGTCCTGAAGTGTCATGATACCCTGGCCAATTTGCTTTGGTCATCTCCTTCACCCCGGTGTCTCTCAGCTCCAGTCATCACCTTGCCTCAGGTTTGCTCTGCTTGTGTCTCTATGCCTCGCCTCATCTGTGCACTGACTTACTTGTGGAATCACAAACTTCTTCAAACTAAGGGCACAGACACACTAAGCCATGATGAAGGCAGACTGTTTGCATCACCTCACGGAGGCAACAGTGGTGCGGTGGGTAGAGCAGTCGTCTCCCAACCAGGAGGTTGAAGGTTTGAATCTTGGTGCCGGCAGTCCACGTGTCAAAGTTTCCTTGGGCAAAACACTGAACCCCCCCGTTGCCCCTGATGGTTAGAGCCATTGGTTGAGCTGGCACCACATATGGCTGCCATCGGTTCTGTACTGGAAACAAATTCCATGTGTGTAACATACTTGGCCAATAAAGGTGATTATCCTTATCCTCACATCGCCCTTGTCTGGGGTACAAAGTGATAGACTACAGCCAACTAGCACATACTGTATGTTCTGTGACTACGTGAGAGGAAATAACTCTCCATACCAGCAGGTGGCGCAAGTCTGTATTTGTAATTCAAAGGGAGAGAGGAAGACCTAGGACTGCAGATATACAAGTTATAAACAAAGCAGCTCTTTCACCACAGATGGTTTATAGGCACTTCTAATTGAGAATATGTTTAATAATAAGTTGCAAACGGCACTGGAGTTGTCAGCCATCTGTCCTTTGGTTGTGGAAGAAGAAAAGAAGACGAGGAGGTGAAAAATAAGGAGAAACCACACTCAATAGGTGAAATCATGGTTACTACAGGGACAAGCCCAAGGGGCTCTCCTGAACCCTTTTCTTCTTGTGCACTGGTTCGCTAAGATGAACAACCAGCCAAGAGTGATCTCTCTCACTGACAGGGTCCATCACTGATTCAACATGGTGAAAAGCCACCAACAGAGTCCAACTAGTGTCAACGGTGCAGCACATACCACAAAACTAGAGTGAGAGACACACACCAATGACCCGACTGTGGCTGACGTGTCACCTGTTGGCAACAGAGAGACTATGTCTTCCCTATGTTCAAGTTCAGCCCTGCAAAGAGGATTTCTTCTACCTTAAGTGTCAATCTAAGACTCTCTTGTTTCTGAAACTAGTTACTCAGTTTCTGCCCTGTGAAGTGTTTAAGATACTCACCCATTACCCAGTTTAGAGTGTTAAGTTATTCTCCTTAGTTCTCCTGTGAAGTGGAATTATGTTACTCTCCTTGTTAATGTGCTGTGAGACTTACTGGTGCACATTAAGTTTCATAATTCTTACATGACTGCTGTGCTTCCTGCATTTGGGTCCAAATCTGTTAACCAACCCTGACATGAAGAGGGACAACTTTCTAATACTTCACAAGAAAAAGGCATACTTTTGAGAAATGTTTTAAGGAACAAACATTCTATGAATTTAATCATCTCATGGCTCATGGGATTTAGCTTGTGACCTCTTAAGAGTATCAAATAAAAGCTGGTATTCAAATGAAAACTAAAATGTGATCATAATCGCCACTCCACCTTCTTTTGACATAAATACATTTTTGGAAAATTTACAGTCCTCAAAGAACTTAAAGTTCAAAGTTGATTTTCAGTCTTCGTGCAATGTTGTCCTGCAACTGATACACAGACATAAAATAGCTATGATATCTACAGAGCTGTTCTCAGACCTGTACATAAAGGTCCACAAGTTCAGTCTGGCCCAGCAGGTGGTAGATCTTCCCAGCATTCAGCCAGCCATACGCCTCCTTCTCTCTGCAGCCCAAGTCGATGAAAATGGCCAGACTACTCTTAGTACAGTCGAGAGCTGTCCGGTAGGACCTGACAACATACAAAATAGATAAATAAAAATAAACTAGATCAGCCGGCAAATTCAAAAATAAATTCTTATCGTTAACACCTTCAAACTAACAGCTGAGGTTACTTTCATTTTCAAAATGGTTGTGTGTGTACATACAGTATATATGTATAAATGAATAAATAAAAAGAGATAGAGAGAGCTACTGTGTATATATAGACTGGTATTTCTCTATTGATAACAACTCTATACAGCCTACAGAAACACCTTGGAGAAAGGAAAACTATGGTCCAAAACTCCAACCATAGTACACAATGATGGAATGTGTGGTTGTACTTAAAATGCACGATGTATATGTAGTGTATCTAACCCATGGTAAAACACAGCAAATACTGTGCTCAGTAGGACTAATGAAACATTCTTCTGTTTCTATTACCTGTTGTACCTGTTTATATTTGGAGAAGTACAAATATTGCATGTTATAAAAAAAAAACTGAAAGATGAATAATTTCAAACTTTATTTTTTCCAATAAAATTTTTAATTAAAGAAAAGTTACAAAAATGATTGCGTATGCTATAAGTTACAATTCTTAAAGAAAAAATCAGAAATTGGAATCAGCCAAGAAAACTGCAATCGGTGATTCTCTAATAAACACACACACACAAACACAAGCACCTTTCTGTGCCCTGAGTGAGGAAGAGTTGGCTGATTGCTTCCAGTGCATCTCCTTCCTGTCCTCTGTCTCCTTTGCATCTCAGCAGTTTGACCTGGTGCTGGCTGTAGATAACACACTGGGCCTGGTCTGGACTCTCACACCCATATAGATGGCAGAGCTTTCTGGTTGCAGAGAGCTGGCCTGTCAATGAGCGATACTTAGTTTCAGCTCATTGAAAAAAGCTAAATTTAAACAAAATATACATTATATCAGATCACTGTAAGATAAAACAAATGTAAGTTAATCTTTTGACTTACAGTCTAACAAGTTGGCATTGATAGCCAGTAACAGAGCCCACTCATAGCATCCTTTCCCATAATACAGCTGTTGCTGCTTCAAATAGTGCTGTCCTAGCTCTAGTAGCACTGTGATGAAGTTCGCTTCATAACCCTTTGCGTCTAGCTCTGAGAACAACTGCACAGCCTCAGTCAAGTGCTTCTGTGCTAGTCCTTTAGCTCCAGCCTTGAGACACAACAGCCCTTTGTGAAGACAATGAAGGACAAAGTCATTTCAGAGAACTGAGATCCATTGGAAGAACATCTGTCATAAAGCCTATACCATCTTACCTAGGTTAGCCTGAGCTACAGCCCAGTTTGACAGGTCCTCATACTCTTGGCAGATGTCAGCAGCAGACTGGTAGCTCTCTGCTGCCCTCTGGAGATCTCCCATACTTCGAAGTGCCACACCACGCATGTTGAGGACCACACCTTCATGTGCAGTTAAAAGAATAGATCTTAGTCACTGCCACTTCTCCTGCTCTCCACACTGACCCTGTTTCCACCCAGAATGTCACTATGCTGCAAAAGATGAGGGATAAACTACACAACTTTGGTTCTGTAAAAACATACATTCCAAAGTCCTTTAGAGGCTCAAATGCAGCTTCAGCTATCCCACTAAGCTAATTCGAGTCAGTTTATTTCAAAGCTATAGTCTATTTAAAACAAATTTCCCTCTTTTATGTCCTTGGATAGTACCTTGCTGTGCTGCGGCAGGATACGTTTTAGTAGTCGTGATTAGTGGGATAGCTGAAGCTGCATTTGAGCCTCAGAAGACCTTTGGAGTGTATGTTTTTATAGAACCAGAGTTGTATAGTTTGTCCCTCATGTTTTGTAGCTTAGAGGTGACAACGACCAAGACCTATTCTTCATCTTGGTGTTGCTTTATAATCCCATACAACCATAGAAACCCACTGACCTTCCTGAGGGGTTGTACAGTGTTCTGGCATGGAAGATAGGACCAAGTCTAGGATATCCAAAGCAACACTGGGCTGGTTGTTTTCAATGTGAAGCCATGCCAGAAAGATAAGCGCACCATTTCTTTCTGGGACCGAGACAGGGGCTCGCTGTGAAGGTGGACTGTTGTTGATGAGAGTATGCATTTGGTGGATAGCGTGTCCAACCATTTTGTGCTTGTAAAAAAGTTGGCAGAGACAAACAGTAAGCTGATAGCTCAGAATATGGTATTTATCCTTTCCTTCTCTTTGGACCTTGGTTAAAGAGAGGGCTTGGTGTAAAAATGGAGCCACCTGAGGCAAGATGGAGGCCTGTTGATTTGTGATCCCATACAGTTTGTTGACATTGTCCAGAACTAGAACCATGCCACTAAGACAGTCACTTAGTGTGGAAGATGGCTGCAGAGATGCTTTCCTGGCTGAACTGACACTGAGATGGGGTTTGGAGAGATCACTGTAGAGCCTTCCCAGGGTCAGGTGTCCATGACTGAGAGAGATGCTCCATGTTCTTTCAGCTTTAGCACAAAGAACAAGTAGTCTCTCGAGATAAGGAACAGATAGAGCCCTGTCTGCACAAGTCCAGTGGTACTTTGCCAAGAGAAAACAAGCTCGTGCCTCTGCCATTTTGTTGTGAGAGAGAATAGCTTTCTTGAGGATATATTTAAGAACAGAGTTGTCCTCTAAGCATTCTAGGCAGTCTGGCACTCCCAGTAGCAAGGCAACAAGTCGCTCTGTCACAGCAAAGAATCTTTCAGTAATTTTCTGCAAAAGATATATAGCAGCCAGGTTGGAGTAGATGCTGGCTAACAGCCTGAGGTCTGTGAAGTCTTCTAGTGGAACACTGAGGGCTTCCTCAAAGTAAATCCTGGCCTGGCTGAACTTGGACTTTCCAGCACAGAGCTTACCCAACAGGAAGCACAAACGAGTCTGTGACCAAAAGAGTCGCTTCTTCCTGGCTGTTTCCCTAGCAACACCCAGAAAGGCTATCAGCTCATCCTCGTCAGAGTGACCATAGAAAGTGAAGGATGTGAGCAGTTCAGAACTCAGTCTGTACAGGACACCAAATTCTGCTTTGTAGTCTTGTCTCTCTAAAAAAGAAAAAAGAGGAGTAAAGTTCTCAGTGTTGTTTACTTCCACAACTGGGTGAACAGAGAAACGAGGAGGACTTGGAACTTGGGCTTCAGTAAGCATGACTGCATCCTCTAGAATTCCATTCATGATCCCACTGGAATCTGAGGATGAGTCTCTTCCTTGATCAAGAATCCTCTCAATATTTCCCTTCAGGTCAGTCTGCCAAGTATCAATTTCCCTTGAAGAACTGACTGGAAGGAAAAAAATGATACAGAGAAGCAATGTTATAATGAAGAGAGACAAGACATTGACCAAAAACTGACATTTGGATGGCAGTGCTTACGTGATGTTTTCTTTTCAGAGGCTTGGAAACTGATAATATCTGAAATTGAACAACAAAACGAAAGTTAAAGTGAATGAAATGCCAAAACCTTAACAACAGTTCATGACTAATTCAAGCAGCAATTTGCAACATAGTGTGCTCTCTCTCTGCTGTTCCCTGCACTGGCTTTATAGAAATAGTTTTCTTGCCCCACTGCTGGCCATAGTTTTAGTGTAAGACAGCTTTGTTAAGGTACTAAATTGTTATTGCAATTATTTCTCCAAGTCTTGCAGTGAAAAGAAAATATAAGGTGATACATTCCCTTTAATTTCCAAATGTCAATAACTCTGGTTGGACACCAGCGATGCAAGGCCCAACCCAGCTGACAGGTCAGGAAAAATGAGACTACACCTCTGCCAACTGCTGGATCTGCTCAGTGGAAAAGACAGACACACATATTGTATATGTAGTTGCTCACAGGTGCCAGCACCAAGGGAGGCTGAGATCTGGGTGAAGTTACCTATAGGATTTTTGTTACTAGGTACTAAATGAGTGCATTGCAATGTGTGATGCTTAGTAGGGTTTTCTTCTTATTTTGATCATTTTAATGATTCACTATAGTTTGTAATTTATTAAACACATTTTAGGAAACTGATCTGAATACCGCAGTTGCACCTACTGTGTATTCTACAGGTTTCTAACTTGTATCACTGGGGCTGATTATTGATACTGATCTCTTGATTATGGAACTGGACTTATATTAATAATAACTGGTTTGTAATTTATTAAACACATTTTAGGAGACTGATCTGAATACCGCAGTATACCACTTATTAATATAAGTCCAGTTCCATTATTTTCAATATTCATTCAATTTGATTTGATTAAATTCAGTTTGATTCATCATAATTAATTTACTTCAGATACAGTAAATACTAATTCTGCATTAAGTGCTTCTCATAATCTTGGGAACTTAAAAATGTTTCTAAATTCAACAAGTCAACATTGTTGTTTCCTTAAGTATAAAATTATGTAAAGTTCACATTACAGCAGGGCTCTAAAGTGCTTGCAGTGAAGCATTTCACTCACATATGTAAGTAAAAATCAGTGTGTGCCAATGTGAAAATTGTTTTGGGTACACAGGTGTGACTGACTGACCATGCTCCTTGGTTCTCAGCTTGTAAGGGCTGGAAGCATTTTATCAGTACTCGAACAGACCAGTGAGTGAGATTAGTGGATTGGAAAATATGGTTTTGTGTATATGGAGTGGCTTCTCCTCTGTCCATGTTGGACCAAGAGTGGTGCTGAGCTCCTCAACATGGAGCAGAGAACAGCTAAGACAGTATGGTGGAGGAGGGGGAGCAGGTGAAATATATTATGAGGTGAAAACACCTATGCTCTACTGTACATGCAATAAAACCTTCATAAGAATCAGACCAATTTATCAAAACACCCACTAAATGAGCATAAACATGCAGAGCACCGATCATTTCAGCCCATCCACTGCTGGTATGTGTTAACTATTGAGCTCTTTGGGGCCTTAAATGTCAGGTGCCATGTTGATGCATCTTGGCTCAGTGAGACCATTCCGGACAGCGCAGTACAGCTGCCAGGCTTCAAGCTGCACTGACTGGATCATGTAGTGGGAAAATGAGAGAAGGTGGAATCTGCTTCTATATAAATGAAGGTTTGTGTCAAGTGTTAGGGAAAACTTGTAACATGGACTCAGAGGTACTATTCATCAACTCCAAATCATTAATTCACAGCGGGAGTTTTCCTCGTTTATTTTGTTTGATGTTTACATCCCACCTCAGGCCTGTGGTGCTACAACACCCACCTGACCAGATAACTTGCATGGAACTGAAATATCCTGACTTCCTACTCATTGTCTTAGGGGAACAGAGCAACCCTCACCAAACAGACAGCACATCAGATGTCCCACGACGGACAAAAACACACTGAATGTCTGCTACACTGTAATAAAGGACACCTATCGCTCTGTCCCCTGTACAGCCTAAGGACTGTCTATTCACTACACACTGTCAGTTGTGCAACATACAGACATGATGTGCAAGAAAAGCCAGCAGTATCTTTTTTGTCTGAAACAATTATGTTCTTACATTTTGTTTGTCAGTTCACCTCTCAGTGTTAAACAAAAAAGCTCTACATTTTGTTTGTCAGTTCACCTCTCAATGTTAAACAAAATTATTAGGTGCAGTGTCAAAGTTGAAACTCAGTCTGCTTGACCTTTAAAATAGGATACAGTGTTATACCTTGTGTGTTTAATTGTGCCCAGCACCACTCTAACTTTGGAGACACATATATCAATCCTGCTGCTGTATGATAACTAACAGTATTTAATAAATTCAAACAAAAAACACCAACATCTGTAGGCAACAAACAAAATTCCAATGGGCCTATTAATGTTTTGGCAAAAGCCATATTACTGACTGGCACAGGTTTATGTTGTTGTGACCCTCATTATTTTAACCTGTAAGAGACTCCTGTCTTAATCACATTAAAAGCTGTCTTTTTATAGACATTTCACTTTGTAACAAATGAATGAGGCAAAAGTCAACATACAGGAAAGTGTTCTGTGATTTTGAAGTGTGTGTATTCCTCCGTCAATTAAAGCAATCAAAACACCTTTTGTGCTCTCTGTAGGATTTATGGACCATTGGTGTTGAAAAGTTGGAAAAAGGTGTTTGTTCAGATTATGTCCTGTGTCCAGAGAAAAGCCTGTTCAACCAACATATCTATAATTATATTTTTATGAAACAATGACTTTGAATCTTTGATACCTTGTGGTATTTTTACATATGACACATTATGTTTTATGTTATGGTACAAAATCAATTTTTTTCTAACTTTTGTTCGGAAAATATGTCAGTGGATCTTGAATCTATCAGATGGCTGACATGAATATACCAAATACATTAATCATTTACCATGCACTCAAACCTTTGTAAGTAATAGAAATAGAAAAATGGTGATGGAATTTGATTTTTTTAAAATCTGTGTGACCTGTGTGTCTCTCTGCAGCCTAAATATCTTACCCAGTTTATAGTTATGACCAGTATCATTTTGAGATTTCTTCTTCAATAAGGCAGCTGCTTCTTCTATGACTTTGTCCTCTTGCAGACTGAAGAATGATTGTTCCTCTGATTCCAAAAAAATATCTCCTGGGCTGAAATGGTGACAGAGAAAACAACAACATATGGTGTGGCCATATACTCTGTTGTAAACCATGTTAAAATGATCACACAGTAATATTGATGACATGCTCACTTGTAAGTGTCAGTGGATGGTTTCACTAGCCTCGTCTTCACCAGACCCACTTCTCCTGTTGTCTCCTTCCTGCCTATGAACCACTGAAAACAGGACACCAGAAGTCCCACAATGATGATGCAATCACCTGGTGCAATGTTTAGCTCATCTGGACCCTCTGCATCATACTGTTCTGTGGCCATACAGGTTCCACTGGCTGAATGAAGGAGAGGAAATACGATATAAAAATGAGAGATATTCCACAACTTTCAGTATGGCTCTAAATTCTCTTTAGTACATACTGACCATAAAACATCTAGTCTCAAGGATAAATACATGCAGTCCCAAAGTAGTGAAATTAATTCACTAATTAATAACAGGTAGCCCTGCACCGACAACAGCATCATGGATCATTAGAATCCTCTCGTTAACTGCAACACATCCCATGCAGCAGACACACTGTTCCGTTTGCTTCCTGTCGTGCTCTTATTTTGACATTACTACCTGTTTTTGTTTCACCACAATTTTTGGTCTATTTACTTTGATCATTACTCAAATTAGTTTCAACTGCTTCTGATTACTCGCGCCTGTGTCCACCAGCATAAAGGCAGCGTTTCCTCAATAGAACGCTGCCAGATTGTTCTAGACTCCAGCTCTAACTTTCCAGCATTAATCCTTGCCCGACTCTCTAGTTTCTGACCCTGGATTTCTGTTTTTGACCACCGTGTATTGCCCTGCCCTTCTAATTTGGACTGCTTCTCTGTATATCGGCTTATCGGACGTCCCTTTTGGACAACGCCTTTTGGACAACGCCTTTTGGATTCCTTGGGTGTATGTGTTTGCTGGTTCTGACCCTGGACTGTATTATCGACCTTCCGCGAACCATGATATGTATCCCACAATCTGTGTCTGCATATCACAGGTCCAGTGCTTACTGTGTCCCCAGCAATTGACATACAGTAATAATACGTCTGCAATGCTGAAGCACTTCAAAGCCAAGCATGACGGCATGCAGGAACCCACAGATCATGGTAGGTCATACTTATTATACACATTCATCCCCACACTGATTCCTGAATGTGATATCACAGTACAGTGTGTTTGTCTGTCATAATGAATTGGAGGCGTGAGCTGGATGAGGCCCTGGTGAATATGCTGGTGAAAGACTCCCAGCCCTTTTCTATTGTGGATGATCAGGGCTTCACAGAGTTCGTGGGAAAGCTAGACCCCACATACACCCTGCCATCTAGACAGACTCTGAAGAAGATGGTGGATGACAAATATGAGGAGGAGAAGACAAAGGCCAAGGCTCAACTGCAGAGCATGGAGGGAGTGAGTCTGATATCTGATATGTGGACCTCTATTAATATGGCTGCATACCTTGCAGTCACTTGCCATTATGTGTGTGACAATGCAAAGCTGGCCACAGTGGTATTAGCTGTACTGCCATTCCCTCATGACCACACTGCTGAAAACATCGCATCTGCTGAGAGGTCACTCATGGCAGAGTGGGGCATTGAGGGAAAGGTTAAATGCCTTGTTACCGATGCTGCAGCAAACATGACAGCCACCGCCAAAATGTTAGCCATAAGGCATGTTGTATGTATTGCACATGCACTTAATTTAGTGGTTAGGAAATTCCTAGATCAAACACCTGGCCTAGAAGACCTGCGCACAAGGGCACAGAAAGTGGTGACCTATTTTAGGTCAAACACTGCCGTGAAAGAAGCTGAGATCTGTGCAGCAGCAAATGAATTGTGCAGTGATGAAGCTGATCCAGGAGGTGGACACATACTGGAACAGTACCTACCTGATGCTGCAGCGTCTATAAGATGAGAGGCAGACAGTGGGAGCAGCTCTGGCATCACTCAGAATGGATGTGAATACTCTCTTCTGAGGATTATGTAACAATAGCAGCGTGCTTACAGGTGCTCAACCCATTTTACATGGCAACAGTGGAACTGTCCCAAGAGAAGAGTGTCGGGCTCAAAGGTCATTCCACTGATTAAAATGCTGCTTCACACAACCTTGACCAGACTGGACAACACCACCAACGTGGCAGCAAAACAGCTGGGACAGAACATATCTGCAGCCCTCGTCAATAGGTTTGACACTCTTGAGAGCTCAACCGTCCTGTCACTGGCCACACTGCTCGACCCCAGATTCAGGACCATTGGTTTCCACAGTCATGACAGGGCACAACATGCCATGCGACGTCTGACTGCTGAATGTGCAGGGTTGCTGAGGCACACACTGGGCACATCTACATTAATGATATATGCAAGGTTTCTGATTTAGTGAAAGTGGTTTTGTTTGCTGATGACACTACCATATGGGCATCGGGTGAAAACCTACAGCAACTCTCTGGACGGGTTACACAGGAACTTGAGAAGATAAAGAAATGGTGTGATAGTAATATACTATCTCTGAATTTGGATAAAACTAAATTTATGGTATTTGGGAATCGTAGACTAGATAATGAACTTCAATTGAAAATTGGGGGAGCTAAAGATTGTGTATTTCCATAAGTGGGGTAAAACTATGGAATAATTTAAGCGCGGACATAAAAAATAGTAATAGAATTGACAAGTTTAAACATAAATATAAAGGTATGTGTCAATCAAGATATAAGCAAGAACAGGCTTAATGATTAATTAGATGGAACATTGTGGGTGTGGTGTATGAATGTTAATACTCTGTAATAATTCTTTAATATATTACTTGTGTGGTGTAGAACAAAATTATCTATGTAGAGATTGTTAAAATTCTTTGATTTAGTGGGATATAAGACTGCTGTGTTTTTGTATAAAGCCAGGAACAATTTATTACCTGGTGGAATTCAAAAACTATTTAATGAAAGGGAAGGGGGATACAATTTAAGGGGTCAGTTAAATTTAAAAAATTCATGCTACACGTACAACCAAAAAAAAAATGTTGTATTTCCATAAGTGGGGTAAAACTATGGAATAATTTAAGTGTGGACATAAAAAATAGTAATAGAATTGACGAGTTTAAATATAAATATAAAGGTATGTGTCAATCAAGATATATGCAAGAACAGGTTTAATGATTAATTAGATGGAACATTGTGGGTGTGGTGTATGATTGTTAACAGTCTATAATAATTCTTTAGTATATTACTTGTGTGGTGTAGAAGATAATTATTTAAGAATGTAATTATGTAAGAAATGTTAACACTCTGTAATAATTCTTTAGTATATTACTTGTGTGGTGTAGAAGAGAATTATTTATCTAGAGATACTGCTTGCAAACCAATGATGGTAAGATGATGTCATGGGGTAGGACTGGATAAGTCTGACTTCTTCCTACTCCATTCAAGCATGTACTAGGTATAAGCAAATTGATATTGGATTAGCATTTGTTGGATATGTGTAAAATTATGTGTCTTGACATATCAACTGTCTTTACATGCTTGAAAGAATAAATCAAATCAAATCAAATCAAATCTATGGATGATGCTGCTACATCAGCCCCTCCTCAACCAGCAGCACCACATGACCAAACTCCATCCACCACAGATAATGTTATAGGTTTGTATTTATTGCGGTACAGTAGACATTAAAGCTTTTGGCATGATCTTGCAAAAAAATTGATTCTTATTCTCATAAACGTCTTAAAAACAGGGCAGGGAATTATATTTTATACTCCACAATATGTTTCTTCCCCGTTTTCTCCCATAGAGGTCAAGCGATACCTGACAGATCCTCCCCTGAGAAGATGTGATGATCCACTGACCTACTGGGATGGGCAGACACGTGTACCTACTTTTGTTCTCACTGGCACAATAGTACCTGTGTACACCAGCCTCATCGCATGTGTTCTCCAAGGCTGGAGGGGTAGTCAGCAAGAGACGAAAGCGGCTCAGTCCAAAAACAGTGGAGAAACTTCTGTTCCTGAATAAAAATGATTGATTCTCCATCCCTTGTATTTATTCACACCCTGTCCTAGTTACATACGCACATATTACCATCCTAGCACATCCTGTTTCCCCAAGCACGCCTTCTCCCACCTACTACACTACATACATTCATAGACTCGACCGACTGACCAATCAAATCTATACAAATGTTTTCACATCAGTCACACAAAGCCTAGTTCAGTGGTTCTCAAACATTTTCTGTCATTCCCCACTTAAGAGCGTGGGCGAATTTTCAAGCTCCACTTGCCAAAAAAATGATAATGAAATCAGCCAATTTTAAAATAACAAATTTATTGAAATATCAAATAACACAAAGTTCAAAACACATAAACTATAAGTGCAACTGTATCGTTTGACAGAGGGATAGTTTTCAATTTTGCAGCACTTGTCTCATCCAGCATAATTGACACCATGTCTACAGCAGCAGGGAGAAGGAGCTGCTCAGCAACTGTGTGTGTTTTTTTTGCACTGTGCAATTCTGTATGCAACTTTGAATGAAGCCATTTTTGCTTTGCTGTTCGCTGATGCAGATTTTACCAGGCGATTTTTCTGCCAGCTTTCTTTTAAAAAAGTCGAGTGGCTTATTAACGTGACTGGGGATGTGTTGTCTCTAAATGTCTTAATTTATTGGGTCTCATGCCGTCTGCTGCCAGCGGCTTAAGACACAAGACACACATGGGTCTCTCCTCTGCCCCCACCATTCCCACCGTGAATCCAAGCACAAGATAGGCTTCATATTTTCTTTTCACCTGGCTTTTTGGTTGATAAGGCTACTGCCTGTCATTTTTTTTTCTGCTTGCGCTGAATCGCCTGCTTTTTTTGTGGTCCATGTAACAAATTTATCCATTTACGTTATGTCCACTACGTACACTATTGGCCCACTATGTGAAAGTTTCCTTATATTGTTGCGCTGCAGTTAACATGCCGACGTTAAACCGTTATTGTTGCACTATAGTTCCACTTTTTTTCTCCCGGGCCCCGAACTGATGTTATTTTAATTTACTTGTATTAATGACCCATTTCTAATTTCCTCCGTTCATTGCGCCCCACCTGTCATGTCTTAATTCCCCACTAGTGGGGCGCGCCCCCCACTTTTGATTAATTTGATTAATTTTGTATTGTTAATATGTGTGAAGCTGAAAGATTGGACTGAGGAAGCAGCAGGTTTAAATACTTCCCACTAGGCCTGGACTGCACCAAGTGCCCAGTACAAGGAAGGGGGGAGTTTGGGAGAAATTTATTGTTTATTTGTTGGTAGTTTATGTTAAAACTTTATTTGTCAAGTTATGTTAATTTCTTTACATTGTTTGTTTTGTAGTGTCTTTGGTCTACCCCTTGTGTGTGTTGTTGGTTTGGCCAGCCAATATATATGTTCCCCTGTGTGTGTGTCACTTCTGAGGTCAGTTGGTTTTTGTTGAGGTATTGGACAGTTCAATTTGCTGTATTTTGCGTTTACTTATCTTTTGTTGACCTCTTTTTAGGGCCCAATTTATGTTAATGTTTGCATTTTTCCATACATTTGGGTTAATAAAAAAAGCCCATTGTTTTGAACTTTGAAAGCTTTGTCTTTTTGCCTTACTGCTTGGTCCCCTGACAGTAATCTTGACTGTATTTGTACATGACAAAACACACATTTGGCAAGTCATGAAAGCATTTTACCCCATATTAAAATGCTTGATAAAAGTCTAAGTGACAGTGGCAGTCAAAATGCAATAGTAAGCACTATAGAGTATGTAGTAATTTATAGTGTACAAAGTTTATATTCAAATATTAGCATTAATTTATGCGTATGAAATTATTTCTGGGAGAACACTCAGTGCATTACACTCAATAGATTTTACTACACTTACCAAACTGCAGAGGGAAGTCGCAGGTTGGTTTCCCATCACCAACTAAAATGCTCTCTGTGCAGGATTTAAAAAACCATCTGTGAACAGATGGGATCACATGATCACAGACCATAACACCTTCTATCCACTACTGTAATGACAGAACAATGAGACCAGTCACCACTACTTGTGTGAGAATATATTGAGTCTACACAACCCTGTGTACAAAAGTGACTCACTGTTGAAAAGCAATAACTGGCTCCAGAGCAGGTTTGGGTGCAGTACCCCTAGCTCCATCAGCCAGGCTGAGCACGGTCCACCCTGAGCCCAGGAATGGAGGCTCAAATTGGGCTAGTTCTCCCTGCTCCAGGTACAGGTCACCTCCAGAGGTGGAGCTGTCAAACATCTGGTTGGCACTACAACGAGCAAACAGTGAACCTGAGGACAGAGAGTAAGAGAGTGTATGCATATGAAATGCATTCAAGGTACTTAAGTATAAGATGGCATACTTTTCCTTGTTTTCTGACTTATGTAAATGTTACAATGGTGAATTATCATCTTAGATGTGACCTTTTGGCTGCCCCCCCGTGACCCCGTTCAGGGACTAAGCGGTAGAAAATGAATGAATGTAATGTTAGAGAACAGTTATAAGGCTGGAGTATTTACTATGTCTGCACTATGCCAGTTAAAATATAGGGTTTCTCAATTGCCTGCTTTTTTAAGAGTGTTACACATCTCATTTCGTCGGTACATATTAATTAATTAATCCAATTAATTAATGCTGTTCATTGTACTGTCCACTTTTGACACAACACCAGCAGCAGGAGTTGTGCACATTCACGAACTATCCTCTCGTTCTTAGGAAGAGTACCCGGACAGAACCCACGCAAGCACAGGGAGAACATGCAAACTCCGCACAGAAAGGTCTAGAACCCAGAACCTTGCCACTGTGAGACAACGGCGCTACCCACCGCGCCACCATGCTGCCCCTTTTGCAAATCATAACAATGCATAATGATAAGGTTACATATTATTTATTAGGTGACTAATTATTAGTTAAAATATGTTTCAGATGGCTGAGCACCTTCAAAAACTACATGTCATCACCTACCCTCTTGCATGAGAATGCCTTTGTAGATAAGGTTAACTGTTTCCTCCTCAATGGAAACCTCAATAGCAACTTTTTCCTCCAAAGAACTGAGCCAGAACTTCTGGTCTAACAACAAATTCTCCATACACTGGCCCAAGAAACCTGGAAGAGTAGAAATGGTTATATTTTACTATGAAACAGGCATTATATACAGCTCTAATACAATGTCATATTTATCGCTTAAAGAATTTGTTTTGCACATTTACATAAGCCCAAACACCACAGACATACCAAACATACCTATTGTGTAATATGTGGTGAACTTCCATATCTCTTCAAATGTTTTGAATGTCACAAAAATGACTTTTTCTTCACTGTTGATGGAAATGACATGAGCAGACAACTCCTATAGAAAAAGAAAAGAAAAAGGTCATGTGATGTTTTTCTGTTGGACAGCCAGACATTTTGAGGTGATTCGTGTTACGCAAACAGTCATTAATCCAATAATAATTTTCTTGCTGTCATGATTCGGTTCCACTGCTTCCCGTCCGGCTTTTATTTTGACACTATTTCCTGTTTTGTTTCACCTTGGTTCTGGTATTTTTTTACGTTCTTCATCACTCACATTAGTTTCACCTGTTTCATTATTATGTGCACCGGTTCACACCTCTATTTAGGCCGGCGCCCCCCCGGGGGGGGCCCCCGCCAGATTGTTCTAGACTCCAGCTCTGACTCTCTAGCTATCACACCTTGCCTGATTCACTGTTCCTGACCTCGGATGTCTGTTTTTGTAACCTGATTGTGATCCTGGATTATAAAGTGGTTGTTTGGTTACAGCAAGTAAAAGATCCTGTCTCTACCTCAAGTCGTCTGGCCTTATAATTGAGTTCACTACAAACACCATTTGGCGTTGCTGCACGCCATACCCGACACTTGCTTTTGGAGATCAGTATGTTGTGCAGTTTAAGTAAAATAAATGCATTGGGCAGATCCACTACTAGGTAGACGTACATCAAAAAATTTCAAACTAACGCCAGGAAAAACATTACCCCCACCCTTAGCAGAGTCCGTCCATCCATTATCTATACTGTTTATTCTTGAATAAGGTCGTGAGGGAGCTGGAGCCAATCTCAGCTGACATTGGGCGAGAGGCGGGGGACACCCTGGACAGGTCGCCAGTCTATCACAGGGCTGACATTTAGAGACAGACAACCACACACACCCACCCACACTCACTCCTACGTGCAATTTAGAGTTGCCAATTAACCTAAGCTGTATGTCTCTGAACTGTGCAAAGAAGCTGGAGTACCCGGAGAGAACCCATGCAGGCACAAGGGAGAATATGGAAACTCCACACATGGGTCAGCTGGGCCATGAACCTGGAACCTCCTTGCTGTGAGGCGACAGCTCTCTTGGCAGAGCTAATTAAAATAATAATTCATCTGAAAATACAAACTCTCTCTCCTTCAGTATAACAGCCTTGCTAGCTGTAATACTATGGCTATCAGTTATCACACTGATGAAAGAAACCATGTTTCAGTCATCCCAATAAATCAATGTGATGTTCACTTATCAAATCATTCACTAACAAAGATTTGGACGAGAGAGATCTGATATTTAATAGTCCACATTTGATTGTCCTGTTATTTTGTTCAATAAGAGGAGTAGTCTTAATATTAATTAGGTTCTTATGAATAACTCCTCTTGAGTTGATTTTTGATTTATATAATTTAGGTGGTCGGGGGAAGACACAGTCTCTATGGGGTAGTGGGAGATTTGGGTGGGTAGCAGCTGCAAAGAGACGCAGAGAGGCGTGTAAGACTGCGACCCTGCGTCCTGGTCTCAACTCTGGGTTGTCATAATTTAGGTTGTAAGATAAACTCGTCCAGATATGAGAGCTGGACCATCCAAAGTGGGATGGATGTTATCTCTACTAATCAGACCAGATTTTCCCCAAAATGTTTTCCAATTGTCTATGAAGCCCACGTTATTTTCTGGACACCACCCAGACAACCAGTGGTTGAATGATGACATGCGGCTAAACATGTCATCACTGGTCACATTGGGTAGGGGTCCAGAGAAAACTACGAAGTCTGACATTGTTTTAGCAAAGTTACACACCAACTCAACATTAATTTTAGTGACCTCCAACTGGCGAAGTCGGGAGTCATTAGCGGCAACGTGACTAACAACCTTACTGTATTTACGCTTATCCTTAGTCAGCAGCTTCAAACAGGATTCGATGTCCCCCACTCTGGCCCCAGAAATACATTTGACTATGGCTGCTGCTGTCTCTAGATTCACATTTGTGACTCTGGAGTCTCCATTTACCAGTGTTGTTTTCTCAGCGTGTGTCGCTGAGTTGGGAAAATCGATTTGAAATGTGAACATGCTGGTGATGCACTGTGGGCATTTGTTTCAAGCTACGACTGTTGCAAACTGTCCCCAAGCTCCCTGGCCCCTGGGGGCGGCTAGCTTGGCCTGAGCTATGTCTAGGAAGCTCGGCACTGACTACATGGGCCTGGCTAGGTGAGCCTCACTTCCAATGCTGCTAGCATCTGACATTTATTACAAATACCATTATCGCTAAAGGAGGCAGAGGAATAACTGAACATGCAACACTCCGAGCAAGAGAAAGAAGGACAGGAAGAGACGGAAGTAATTGCTCTCAACTAAGCTACTAGCTTAGCTAGCTTCTAAACTAGCTGACCTAAAGTAGCAAGTTAAATTTGGTAATTAGCAAGAAACTCTGTAACACAGCTGCTTAAGTAGTGCAGGCACAAGTCATGAGTCACAAAATTAGCTGATGTTCACATAAACCTAGAAATTAGTGAGCTCAAGTCGTAAAAAATCTGGTAGCAAGCACAACACAGTAGGCACAGGAAACAGGAAATAAATACGATTACTGCAAGAACAGGAAACGGCAGTATCAAGCCATTTCGGGGCCTCGTGTCACTGACAATTATAAGACACCTTCTGGGAAGGAAATAAGTTCTAGGAAACTGGTCAAATAATAAGATAATATTCATTTGAAAATAAATAAATACATAATACATGAATAAACCATCACTATATCATCTACTCACTGGACATACGAGATTCTCTATCTGAGCTACCATACATTCCTTAAACCGGATGCCAATGTGTGTCTCTTTTTCAAACAACCATTTTAGATATGAATCATTCATATCCAAGTCTCAGATGTATGCTTTTTATTGTCCTTTGTACAGTTCCCTGTACAAAGGACAATAAAAAACAAAATGATACTCATGTTCATTATTCTCTAAATCACACACAGGACAAATATGACTTTCTTCTTCCAAAGCAGCATATCAGCCTGTTTCAGAATGAAAAGACGGTGTCTCTTTGGACACGAATAATACAAATGAATGTTTATGCATTCACATTCTCTCTTTCACACAGCTGGCTTATGGAGGAAATAAGACTTTTTTTACAGCTTAAAACGCCAGGGGCTTATTATAGGTTCAGTTGCCAGCTGTGTACGTGTGTGTGTGTGTGTGACGAGCTGTACCATGAATAGACTGTTGATCTCGGCACTGTCAACCTGCATAATACGCAGTTTCCCTCTCAACATTTCCTTTAGCTCCTCATCTGCAGGAAGACGCTCAGGACCCCTGACCACATCCAGCATCACTGGCAGAACTGGAGGCAGAACACACAGAAATGCTTAACCACCCACAGTAGTAACTGAAGGTTACTCAGATGAGTGGCAGCCGGTCAGTCAGAGAACAACGTTCAGAAAGATTACAGCAAGGAAATCAACCTGAAACAATAAACAAGAGGGGAACAAAAGCTGGAAACAGTAAAGTAAGATTAAAAATATTAAGATATTTCTTAAAGGAACTCATACAAGCTGGATGGTGGCTATTCTGCCCAGTCTGTGAAATGCATTTTTTGTTGGTTTATTATAATCATAAAGAGAAGATTAACATTAATATCAAAGTCAAAAATGTTTATTATAATGCTTAATAAAGATAACTTCACATGATTAACTCTGCCCTCAGATCAGATTGTTACACTTTCTTGTTTTGTTATTGAATCCTATATTGCTAACTTAGGCCCCTTTCAGACATGCACTCATTTCATTACTTTGATGACATCTGAATGTGTCGTCTTCATGTCACATTTCTGTAAAAGTCATGACAGCAATCTTACTAGGATGGACCTAGTAACATTTACGTATTACTTTCAACAAGACACACGTCTGAACTGCATTAACAGACAGGCACATGCCAGATTATAACAATCTCGAGCATATCGCAAATATCGCCTGCATTCTGTGGCTTTCTCCATCATGGCCATGGTCATCATCAAGCTGTAAGGAATGTAAAAGTGATCCATGTCTGAGTGATGCTGTCACTTCAACTGATAGAAGCAGCCAGCAATGTTATGTTTCCCATGTCTGAAAAGGGCTTTACTGTATATTTATGGAGGGCTCTTAGTTGGTATAACAAAACCAGGAGATGTTTTTTTAGTACCAAAACACAATATGTAGTCAAATATACATTTAATCATAGAATCAACTGACTATCATCTAGACAAGTACATATGGTAGAGATTTGGTATTTTTCTAACTTCAAAGTCAGTTAAATATTTGCTGAAAAAGAATGAGCTGAGCAGTTTATGCCACAGTGGCAAAAATGCCTAACAGATATAATAAAACTAAACCCATGTCCAATGTTACAATAAAAGTATGACAAAAATTTATTATGGTGCAAGGATGAAAGGTTCAGTTGAAAATCAATAGTATCTCATAACACTTGTTAAATGTAAAGAATAGGGGAAAAGCAGGGTTGTCCCTTTTCCCCCTGCCTATTTGTTATAAAAGCATCAGGACATAAAGTATGAAATAAACTAGTAACAGTAGGATATTGACATTAATTGAAAACGCAGTGTCAAATCATGAGACAATGAACTATCTAAAACCTTTAAAATCATCCACCACAAAAGACAATGATGCCATTTCAGACCAACATTTTACAATATTACCATTTGTTCAATGTGCCAAATGGCTGTGGATGTAAGAGACCAACTCAAATCCACGATTAAAATGCTGACTACTACTAAACAATATGTACTATAAAATCATGCAGTAATATGAGCCAGTGAAGACACTGTGTAACTTAGAGATTAATAAATGACTTCAGAGAAACACACAGGTTCAAGGTATAAACCATTTTAAATTCTCTCACCTGATTTTCCACTACAGTTTTAAAGGTCACATGAGACTTGACAGTACTACTGAAAACAATATTTTGTGGTCAATTTGTTTAGTAGTATTACCTTATTGAACATGATCTTATGCTACCAAAAAAAACTTTTGGTAGCATAGAAATTGGTAGGCCAAGTTTAGATTATACTAGCTGTACTGAGCAGATGTGCAACGTTAGCAACCACTAGTATCACTAGCTTAGCTACTACAAAGTATATCACTCAGTCAGTTCTGCTTACAATGGATGGTTATCTTTCAATCTAACATTACAGGCTTAACTACCATTAGTACTTCATACAGTAGTAGCTGCTGGTAAAATGTGGTTTCTTTCAGTAAAACACAATCTGCCAGTTTAACAATGATGGCATATGATGCCTATAGCACATGATGACCAGCACATTAATAAATGCCAGCAAGGAGTGGATCTGCAAGAGGAACATTAATGACATACCTTTAACAAGTGGCAAATACCAGTGGACCATCACTGACATAGTCCAGTAGTCACGTATGTGATGTATCAGAAGTAGTACAGTACATTCTACTAAAACAAGAGTGCCATACTCTCAGCTTCTCTGCGATATCCCGAGCACATATATTCTTAAATATTCTCTAAAAACACAAGCAAACACAAACATAAAACTGGCTTGTCTGTTGTCATGTTACCTGTTGGAAAGTTTTCTTCACATGTCGACAGAGTTCTCTTCAAACTTGCAGCATCTCTGGAGAAACCATGGACTGCTGAAAAAGTACACTCACTCTTTAGGTGTGTCCCATACATTTTACATTGTGTTGGCAAGTACTGTATTATGAGCACTACTGAATATACAGCAGCTCATATAAGTGATCCATACAGCTTTTTCCAAATAAAAGCCACAAGTCCACCCACCCCCTAAAAAGAACTGAATGTCCTATAATATCTTTATATCTATATATATTACGAGCTCAGACTCAAATGTAGACTAGCTGTTTTTAGGCTCATCAGTCTATAAGAATATTAGAAACTAGAGATACCCATTGTGCTGGGTGGGTTTAATTTCTTTGGCCCCTCCAGGTGGTGTTGGCCGTTAGTTGAGCTCTTTCTGCGGCGTCTGTGTTCAAACCTGGCTGACATGTCCAGTAGAACTGGCACTAAGACTTGTCTCTCAGCGCGAGCGACGGGAGCATGGAGCTGACCACATCAACTTCCCGTGTGTGGCTTTTCAAAATAAGCTTCATGCTGACAAAAACTTCAACATTGAAATTGAGGTCAGAATTAAAAGAAACGTCTAGAAGAAGATAAAATTCACACGTTTGCAGAAAAACGTTTAAATGTCAGTATCACATTTTAATATTTTCACTGAAATATATTGTTTGTGCTGGTAGGCTAAGAGAAACATTATATAAGACTGTAAAACTGATAAATAAAAAGAGATCTACGGGTTGAGGGGTCATTTGCTTTTTTTATGGAAATTTGGGAGTTTCAGCAGTCTGAGCTTTACAGTTTTAGGGGGTTTAGAAGAAAAACTAGTATATCATGGTGGTCACTTATGCTATCTCTTGAAAAAAAAAAATTAACGGTTAAAATTAACAGTGACTAGAAATTTAATAAAAAACATTTAACTGAAAAAATAAATAATTTTGAATCATATTTATATTTATTTAGCATTTTAAAATATTCGTTCCTACTGTTTTATGGATTTGTTAAATCATTCTCACAATTCTGTTCATTTTATTTATGAATTATCTTTTATTTAGTTGTGTTGGGGTATTGGGGTTTAGTTGGGGGTGTTTTGTGAGAGAAATGGGAGTCAGTATATTTTATTATAATATGTTCATCTAATTGCCAGTATATTTTTTTATTTGATCTTATTTACATAATTTGGCTACCACCCTGTGTTACACATATATATAATGCCATAATTTAACTACAGATGATATGGTACAATGGCAAGCCTGACATTACTCTATTAATTTGAAGTCATATTTGCTTACTTCCTGTATTACTCTGGTTAACTTGACTTGAACATTTTAATATCGCACTGACTGGACTAAACATGTTTTCACAGTTGCTTTATTTTTATTGATTATTTCTTATCATTATTCCAACAAATATCAATCCAAATAACAAATATTTCATGTTTTGTGAGAATCAACTATGAACGGTTTCTACAGTCCTTCCTCAGTCACTTTCTGAATAAAGCTTCTTCTGTTGTCAAATCACCAAATAGTCTGGGGGTACAGGATGTAGACTTACACGTTATGTATTCTCTCTCTCCCTTTTTTTCAGCCACAAACTCTGCACTTTCCCCATCACTTTTTCTGTTAGATTGTGTGGGTTTGGTTTAGCGTATAATGCAGAGTGTGTGTTTTCCTTAAAACATCCCAGGAACAGACTCAGCATTTCCTTTCCTCCTGTCAGTTCATGTGTCAGTGCAGTGTTGCTCTAAAACTAGAGCAACACTCAGGAATTTATTACAGCAGCAAACAATCACAGGGAGGGAATCACGAGTCCTATGTGCTTCTCAACACTAAAGTAATACACATTCAGCAAAAAAATACAGTCATATGAAACTTACTCTTTTTATTACCCCTTTTTACTACAGTCTGGGATTCTCAGATGACTTGATAGTGTAAAGTACAGTTGTTAGTCTCAGCATGGTGTGAGTATAATGCCTGTTTTCAAGACTTTTTATTGGCTGCGCCAAGAAGTCCAGGGAGTTTTAGACACCCTGCAATAGGGTTACCTCAGAGGTATTCCCATAACAAACTACTTAAAGTTGCATTCACAGTTTTTGGCAATTTGGTGACAGTACAGCAAGCTGAAGAGACAACACCTGGCATATATTTTGCCTTATAAAGTTGTTGGGGCTGTTGTTCTGTCACCAGCTTAGATTCAGGATTAGGATGGGTTTAAACTTGTGTTGTTTGTGTTAAAGTCACATCATCACTTAAACCCCATTGCTGTGGTTTAAACTGCACCTGTGGTTTCGTCTGACTCGGGTCGCTGTGGTCCTGTAGAATGCACCTAGACACTGTAGAAGTGAGTGTTGTAACTGATTACAGTTTATGACAAATATAACATAAGATTATTAATTCATACCATCATGTATTGTTTGAGAAATTCACTACAGCTTTACTGTTCAATCTTACTGATAATACTGTATATCTGACAAATTAATGATAGTCTAGAAAGGAAAGAAAGTGGTAATTGTACTATGATATAATGTTACTGAAATCCATCCATCCATCCATTTTCCTCCGCTTATCCGGAACGAGGTCGCGGGGGCAGCAGTCTAAGCAAAGATACCCAGACTTCCCTCATTACTGTTACTGAAATATTCATGACAATTATATTAATTAAATTCAATTTATTTGTATAGTAAATCACAACAAAAGCATAATAGCAGTATAACTAAGGCAAGGCTCAGGGTCACCTGATCCAGCCCTAACTATAACCTTTATCAAAAAGGAAAGTCTTAAGTGTAATCTTAAAGGTAGAGAGGATATTGACATGTCATCCTCCTGAACTGAGACTAAGACTGGGAGCTACTACTTAGTAGTAGTAGCCTTATCAGCTATCACAAGACCAAGAACATGTTCTGTTAACCCTTGTGCTCTGTTCGGGTCTGTGGGACCCGGAGTCACTTGTCACCTTAAATAAGACAATATATATAAATATATATATATATACGGTTTTCAGGATTAGAACAAAACTTAGCAGGGAGATGTTTCTCACATTGTCATGATTAGTGTTGCATCATGTAATCTGATCCCTGTAAAAGATGACAATCTCAATAATTGTGTACACAGAATCACTGGTGGTGTAATCAGTCACTCACAGTTAATTGTACAACAATGTGAAAATGTTAACAACATTAGAAACACTGCAGAATACATAAGAATACATGCACCGTGCATAATAACACTAGTAACAGTAGCCTACAACAGCACTGATAAAATGATAACAACAATGATAAGACGCCAGATGTAGAGTTTTTATTGCTGAAATGCCGGCCCTACTATCTATCCAGAGAGCATAGTGCTGTGTTTTTAGCTGCTGTGTATGTTAGCCCAAGAGATAATCCCTCTGCGGCTCACAGTAAACTCTATGATACCATCAACGCGCTAGAGACAGCACACCCTGATGCTGTATTTATCGCTGCAGGCGACTTTAACCAGTGCAATTTAAAGACTGTACTCCCCAAATATTACCAACATGTGAACATTCCCACTCGGGGCAAGAACACTCTGGATCATGTTTACAGTAACATACGTGGTGCATACAGGGCTGCACCCCGCCCCCACCTTGGACGCTCAGACCACATTTCTTTGTTCCTGTATCCAGCTTACAGACAAAGACTGAAACAAACAAACCCTGTCACCAAACAAATTAAACTCTGGACCCCAGAGACTGAAGGCACCCAGCAGGACTGTTTTGCCCAGACAGACTGGGATGTGTTTAAAGCTGCAGCCACCTCAGAGGACTTTTCTGCCAGCATACAGGACTATGCTGAGTATGTGACCGGATACATTAGTACCTGTATCGACAACATTGTGCCCACCATACAAGTCAGGAGGTTCCCCAACCAGAAGCCCTGGAAAAACAGTCAAGTATGCCACATACATTCAGAGCCGGCAATGAGACGGAGTACAAAGCCATGAAATACAGACTAAGGAAATCCATCGCAGTGGCCAAGAGGCAGTACAGGGAGAAGCTGAGTGGCTTCTTCTGCTGACTGGACAGTTGTGGCAAGGCCTGCAGCATATCACAGACTACAGGACCACCATCATCAGCTCCACAGACAGCCTGCCGGATGACCTCAACACCTTCTACACCTACTTTGAGACCTACAGCAACGGG